ATATGCATTGAAATATATTAATTTTAAGGAAGGTGGTCAACTTTTTTACTATTCAGGGACGAACGGAAGTAAACTAAAAACAAATATGCGTATACATGAATAAATTTTTTATATCAACATAATTTAACATGTAATAATTTTGATTATATTTCTATACGCCTACTTAAATTTATATCTTCTGTATGTATCCTGTTCGTATTTTATAATCTTTTTTATCTCAAGAGAGATAAAAATAACTTTTTCTTTATCATATCAAAATTATTTTGTAAAATAAGTATTAATAATAAAAATATTATTTTGTAAAATCTTAATAGTAAACTTTTGCATAAAAGAAATTGCATAATGTTTGAAAGATTTTACATTTTATAATACAATGAGGAAATGCAATGTATAATTATATAATTTCGATAATATTCATGAACTCTAAGAAAGACAAAATTATTCAAGGAGATTCACTCTGATCAGGAAAAACATGTGTGATAATAATAATTGTAGCTATTTCAACAATAAATCAAGATACAAGTGATATTTAAAACCTGCTTAAGGATACAGAAAGAGAGTGTTTTCTTTTTGTTTCATTTCTAATAAAATTAGAGCTAGTCTTTATTGTAAATAATTATTGATTATATTCCACAACAAAATTATACTGCCAATCATATTGTCATAATTACATTGTCACATTGTGCTTGTTTAAAACATAGATCACTTTATCAATTACTATTAGTTAAATTTTATACCTTTTGGTAATTAAAGCTATTAAATTATCAAATTACCGATATAAGAAAAGAGATGAATGTAGGAAGTGTATTAATGCACTGATTGCGTTGATTAAAATGCTACATTAATATCGAAAAGATCACAAATTTTATTGAATTCTTACATACTCGCATGTCACGCAATAATATATTACATAAGAGTGCATAATAGGCAAAAAATGACGTCAAGCCCATTAAATACATACAAAATATAAAACGATAACGCGTGATAATAAACGATAATTCTGGGAAATCCCTAAAGAAATGACACGCGTAACGTAAAAAGCTATTATCAATAATTACATATTAATTGACGACAATCGCGTAAGAATTCGCGGGATCGGACAAACATCATATACGTCATGATTAATTCTCTCTGTATCATTCCTCTCTCTTTGGTTCTCTTTCTTCATTGTTCTCTCTTTCTCTATCTTTTTCTCTTCGCATCTTCACAATTCTCTCTTCCGTTTTTCCTCATACTCTCGCAGAAACATGTTCGACGAGTTTTTGATCTCCGTTGTTTCCGACATTGCCTGCCATCGTGAGAGTAAAGACAAAGAGAGAAAAATTTACCGATCACGAATGCTGTTATTTTCCGAAAAATCCCAAAAATACATGAGGACATAAGCACGCTCACTTTGTTCGTTGAGTATTACTCTTATGAGTGGCACAGTTGAGATCGCATTTATTCCTCGGGATCTGAAGTGATAATCAACACAATCAATAATTTCACAATCAATAGTCAATAATTTCTTAGTCTCAAATCGATGCATTACATATAGCAAAGAAATATTGCATAAAACTGTGAAAGTGAAAGATAAATCGCATGGAATTACTTTAATTGGGATTTTTTATTTAATTGAGCATACACATTTGCATTAAAAATTTTGTATATAATATCTTTATTATAATTATCTTATTGGCACGTTTCATGTAAATCACAGATCCAGAGTTCAAAAGAGGCGATCTACATGTAATTAATTATATATAATTTAAGTACACTTATAAATATATAGGGAGTATTAAATTAAAATCTTTAATTGCGTCTTAATATATTATGCTATGTATATTCAAATCATTTCGATTATCGTAAGATTCGGATTTCGGATGAGTATAAAAGTGATTTAGTTTGAGACAGATCACGTCATTACCAACCAATTAATTCAAAGACTGGCTTCGTCTATAGATTACATTTCTGTACGTAGCCAAAGAATCTTTTTGTCTTAAATTTCTAATATTGTAATTTTTTAGCGCACTTCATCGAGAGAAGCAACATTCAATCTACTTCCGACGCAATTCGCAATACGAATACATATAAGTACCTAAGTATCTTCACACACATTTTCTAATAAATGCTCAAGAGTGTTTATCTATTTTCAAAATCGAATTAATTCTGACTTCGAGGAGAGAGCTCTAATTTACAATCGTGATTTCTAAAACTGCGCTGAAATTTATAACTCGCGATTATAAATTTGAGTGCCTATGAACGGGCAGTTTTTACAATAAATCTTCTAGTTTTTCAAGAATTAACTTAATGTAGTCCCCGACATAAAATTGGACAATGTGACATATTCACCGGATTGTTTGCGGAAACGTCAAATATAAATTGGAGTATTATGTCGTTCTTGTGACCGAGGAGCTTCGAGTACCTCCTCGTCGATTCGGCTCGTCGTATCACAATGTTTAAGCGAAGATTAGCATATCCCTAGTGTCGACCGAGGCGGACGCTTGGCTCGACGCGGAAGTTTTCGATGTTATATCACCGTAAGATCCCGAAGAGGCATTGCTAGATGCGTGCGCGTCGGCTTTTGCGGATGCTGATCCACCGTTGGAGTGCGCGCTGGACGTGGCGTCAGCTTTGGATGAACCACCACCGGATGCGATCGCATTGGAAGATGCCTGCGCGTTGGCACTTGAGCCTGCGGGATGGAATAGCGAATCATTTAATTACGATCAGACCGGACGCCACAGCCTCTGCCATGATCGACGCTGATGCCTCGGCCTCGGGACTAAGGCCTGTGGAAAAGTGAACACGAATAGCTCTGTTACGATCGATGAATAGCTCGACCGCTGAACATATAAACACAAAAATATGAATGCGATGCTTCTGATTTTCCATCGGAGTGCTGGATTAGTCTTTTTTTTTCACTTTTCCATCCAATGGTATTTGTGAAATTCATGAAAGCTGATGAAAGTGCAAGTGAATTGCGTGCGATAATATAACACTTTGCGTTCTGCTTGGAGATTGATTAGCGATGACGTTGAATGACTGGTTTTCATAAGCTCGATCATTAATCGATAATGATACAAAACCCTGAGTAATCTTTCATCTCTTGTATCGTTCACAGGATAAATTATCCGTTGGAAGTTGTTAGGAGAAACGCATCGTTTGATCGATGATCATCTGAACGATGGATATTTACATATAATAGGTTGTTACGTTCAAACATAAACGTCGACAAGATGTTACATAATGACGATAACAATTAAAGGAAGTCGTGCTTATTCCTAATAAAATAGTAATAACTATTTTAGCTGCCAGTTTTAAAAAACCTACGTGCTTATGCCGTTAATTTTCCGAGTTTTAAGACATGCGTGAATTTTTTTAGCATTACCCATGTTACAGGACATCACATAAAAATACAAATTTATGTGTGAATTACATATGTACCTCCTCCGACTCCTCCAAATCCACCTTGACCACCATATCCTCCGGTATGTCCTGTTCCTTTAACACCACCTCCATATCCACCAAGGACACCACCAGAACTTCCAGCATTGGCATTAGCATTAGCATTGGCATTAGCATTGGAAGAGCTACCGCCATATCCACCGACGTTCGATCCGGCAGAACCTCCATGTCCACCAAGACCAATAGGTGAGCCTCCTCCGAGAACAGTTCCATGACCACCGGCAGCGCCAGCATTGGCATTTGCATTTGCGCCAGCGTTGGCACCGGAAGAACCTTTACCATAATAATCTCCGATAACGGTTTCGCCACCATTTCCAAATCCACCACTGCCTTGACCACCTCCGTATCCTCCGTGACCTCCAGAGACGTGTCCACCGGGTCTTCCAAGGACGCCTCCGCTGCTTCCACCAACGGCTCCAGCGTTAGCATTAGCGCCAGCATTGGCACCGGAAGAACCATGTCCACCATGTCCTCCAAAAGCATTCCGCCACTGTTTCCATATCCACCGCCTTGACCACCAGCGTTACTTCCGCCATATCCTTCATGTCCACCACTAGATAAGCCTCCTCCGTGACCTCCGAGAACAGTTCCATGACCGGCAGCGCCAGCATTGGCACCAGCGTTGGCACCGGAAGAGCCTTTACCATAATAATCTCCGATAACGGTTCCGCCACCATTTCCAAATCCACCAGTGCCTTGACCACCTATGGTACCTCCGCCGTATCCTCCGTGACCTCCAGATCCTCTGAGAACACCTCCGCTACTTCCACCGACGGCTCCAGCGTTAGCATTGGCATTAGCACCAGACGAAGCACCGCCTTGTCCTCCGAATTGTCCTTGTCCACCGTAATTCGGGCCAGTTCCGTGACCTTCGTAACCTCCAGAAACTCCTGAAGAACCACCGTATCCGCCTGAGCCAGATATCGGAGTTTGTTTAATCGGTCCGAATCCTCCTCCAACATTACCGGCTCCAGCACCGGCATTGGCATTGGCGTTCGCGCCAGCATTGCTTCCGAGCGGACCTGGAAATGCTACTCCGGATTGTCCCGGGTAGGTGGTAGTAATGCCTCCCGGTTTCTCACCCAAAACATTGGGAGGTTGAGAATGTATTCCTCCGCCAACATTGTGAGATACGCCACCAGTGAGGAAGGGATTATTCAAGCCTATCGGTTTCTCTCCACCAGCATTGGAATTGACATTGGTATTAAGCTCTTCAGCGGAAATTGCACCATTCAAGAACGGGTTGTTGGTACCAATGGTCCCTGATTCTGGGTAACCGTTGAGCTGGGCACCATGTTGATATCCACCGTGTTGATAATTTCCACCGTGTCCTCCTAAGATACCTCCGCTGTTACCGCCTGCATTTGCTTGAGCGTTGGCATTAGCGTTAGCGTTACTTGCGCCGCCCGATAAAAACGGGTTGCCTTCATATCCGGGATGAGGATACGAAGTTCCATGGGCACCGCCCTGTCCATAGCTGTTGGCTGTATTAAAAAATATTTCAAAATGTTATTTCTTTTATTTTATTTATTGTAATTGATAATATTATGTATAACAGTCATATATAACACATAACGGGACAATGCATGAAAACATGTTCCTACAAAATATGAAGATTAAATTTCATAAATACAATTGATAAAACACATGATACGAAAGTTACGAAGTTTATGCTCTCAGTCTCAGACACGCTTAATGTCAGATTCTTTATTCCTTGTTTCCTCCATTTAAGGTACAAGACACCATGAAGAAAACAGCGAAAATACATTATCAACGGACAAATCCTTGTTTCTTGCTATTGTTGTGGAAACAATGTGGTATCAAAGAACGTAATACGAAACAAGACTTTTAACCATCACCTTGACTACAACACAAATGCAGAAAATATCTTCCAAATCACATGCATTCTTGAATACAATTTCCATATGATGTAAAATCTGCGCAGGAAGTGTCAGTCGACAAAAGTGTACGAGACGATTATGTGCGTATCACATAATTAACTGTATACAAAGAAAATCGTTCGAAAATCTTGAATGGTCGTGCTCCAATCCCAACTCTATCTATTTAATTACCAACATTGTTTGGCAAAACATACACGAAGATGATTAATCATAATTATGATGTGCCGATCATGACGTGCTTCCATGAAGAATTACATAAAGACAGCGTAGAAAATTCGTGGTGCTGCCACGTGGTTAGTGCATTAGAATTCCAACATAGTATCGATGATCATGTGATGACTTTTGAATGCGCTCGATCATGAAGTATCCCACCTGGCTTACTAGGCACTGTCTCCTCGATGACGATGATCTCGATGGGCTGTTGCTTCGGTTTACCGTACGGTCGGTTGAGATTGGGGATGATGAGGACGTGGGTGGTGATACGGCGGATACCGCGGGGATGATTCCTCGACAATCACAATTGGTATCACGGCTCCTCCTTTACCGCCCCCGGGAATTGGACGAGGTTGAAATACAGATGGTGTTGGCTGAGCGAGCGGTAACGTGTTCACGGGAATAACTTCTATTTTATCTATCCTTCCGCCAGGATGTTTGTTGGGTATCACATTTACCCCGCCGCCATTTGCAGCCGCGTTCGCTTGAGCGTTAGCGTTAGCGTTAGCATTACCGATCGTCTTGAGTCCGGAAGGATAATAAGAATGGCCAATCGGACCTACTCCGACATTGCTGTTGGCATTCGCATTGGCATTAGCGTTAGCACTGGACTGAGAGCCACCGTAACTTCCGTAACTCGGTTGAGTGACTTGATGGGGATAATAACCGTTGTTCACGCTATTTCCCCCAGAAAGATACCCCCCGGGATTTCCCACAGAACCTAAGTTAAAAGCGCCGATTATTAAATCCGCGGATTTTATCAAGAAATATCATTAAAACATCATATAATTATTTCCGAAATATCTTATAAGGCCACAGAATATATTGGGAAGAATAATATCTAAAAAAATCAGAATAATATCTAAAAAATATAATGTAAAAATTATTATAATATAATGTAAAAATTATTATAATAAAATTATAATAAAATATAATAAAAATGTAAAAAAAATATTTTAATTTAACTGAAACTTATTCTTGAGATATTTAGAGAATTTTAATATATTTTACAGATTTTATTTGTTATATGAATTATTTTAATTATTATAACATTCTATTTAAACTCATGCTTTTTTTGAAAAAAAAATAGTTTAAAACTATAAAAATCAGATATATTTCTATAGTTATGATATATTTCGAGCCTACCTTGTGCATTGGCATTGGCATTGGCTTGCGCATTTGCATTCGCATTGGAACCACCATATCCGCCATATCCATTGGCACTGGCTTCAGCATTCGCTTTTGCTGAAGCCGAAGCCAAACCAGCGCCATTTGCCTGTGCTGATGACGAGGCCTGTGCTGAAGAAGAGGAGAATCCACCACCGATTCCGATTGGTCCGAAATTCAAATTTCCTGCTAACGATTGAGCATTGCTACTAGCCTGGGCATTACTATTACTTTTTGATCCCAAAATGCCCAACGGATCCAACAAACCGATGCCAGTATTGACTAGATCGCCTAATCGTCCTTCGCACAAATAAAACATTATAAGCTTATCGAAAATATTATAATCATTTATGATTTTCTCAAAAATCGCTTTGTAATATCTTCCACTTATCCGTTAATTATTCTATACATTCATAAATATACGATAAATATTCATAATATACGAGAAATATTTAAATTTATATAAAAAAATTGATAAGCGATTTGATCTTTCAATACTTACGCAAAAAAAAAAAAAAGAAAAAACTAAAAGTCATTTTGGCATGACATAATCATCTTAAATCAGATATTATGTCATCATATTGTAACAAGTATTTGTAAAAAGCATTCCAGTCGTAATATTCCTCAGAACTCAATCTCTTATAAAATAAAAGGTAAAGCAACATCTTTGAAACTCACCAGGTCTCGCAGAGGAATCCTTGATCAACAGCAGTACCACCACTGGCACCAAACACTTGAACATTCTCATGACGATGATTTTCACTTTTGCGATCGAATGATTATTCGTCTATCACTCACAATATCCTTTCTTGTTTGTCTGTCTCACCGATATCTCGATAGTCGGAGAATCAAGAACGACTGAAGCTCTCGCACGAGGACAACATCTTATATACGACACACGCGTGGATTTTACGTCGGACAATAATTGACTCTCTCTTTCTCTCTCATCGCGTTCTCCAGTATCATCGTCTCTGTGCTTCCATTTAGGATTCCCTACAATTATTCTCTTCCATGAAACCGATACCACATCCTTAGAAAACATTACGTTTTGGGAGAAATAAACTTTGGCGTTAAAAGTCGTAAATTTAGATGTAATTTAATTATATTAAATATTAGTTTTAATAATCAAGCTAATCAAATGACAACAATTTTGCCGCTCGATTATCACTCATAAAGTCGGTTATCAAGATTCGCTCATTTCGACGAAATACATATTTTTGATGTTGGGTTATTCCTTTTTGTCTATTAAAAAATATTTAACAGCTTAAATAAGCATTATATTTATATGAGATTTCTAATTAATTTGTGATGAGAATTTGTTCACAAGAATAATTCAATAAAAATGATACGTTGTTCTAATTTTATGTTAACTTTGCCTATAAATAAACAAAACTTTTGAAAAAGTATAAAAGAAAAGAGAAAAAGAAGCAATATAATAAAAGACTTAAAGAATTATTTTTTAGTTTTTTTCAATTATTTAATATATGTGTATTTAATATATATATTATAAGTAATTAATTTTATTAAAGAAGTGCGAATAATTGTATTAAACGAGTTTATTATTTTTGATAAAATAAAGAAACATTGACATTATTCTTGATTCTTATATAAAGATAAATTTAATTTAAAAAAAATATTGATTCTCAAACACAATCTTAGCGACGTGGCAAAGTCATTTGCAATTTAAGCAGTGAAGATATATATCATGTATGCATGTGTAGACTTCAGTGAATTCTGTCTCCTTTTTATATCGATGACTGCGACAATCAATAATCATAAATAGATAATTAAAGATTTTATTTCCTTATAAATTTAAGTGAAATATAAATGTAAAATATAATGTAAAAAACATTTAAATTTTTATCTTTTATAAAGATAATTCAATTCAATTATTTTGTTGATTGTGCAAAAAATTAATAAAATCTGCGTTTATATAATCATATCGTGTTAGTAGGATTAATCTTAGAATATATTTATATTTTAAGAAATATTTTCTATTTATAAGGATATATTATAATGATAATAAATGTGACAGAAGATATGATAAATAAATGCAAGTGAAGAAATTTTATTTATTTGGTGTGTG